TTTTCAGGATCATCTAACAAGATTAAAGAGGTTATTATGGTGCTTAAGAAGTATTATTTTCTTCCATGCCACTTTTAAAATAAAATGCACATACCTTTATATATAACAGTTCCTAGTATCCCAAGAAAGTTGAATATCGCACCATAGCCATAGAGAAATAAATTCTGCAACAGAGAAAAAATGTCCACTCAAACAACAAATACGAAAAAAGGACAGAAGAAGAAGAAGAAGACAACACAATCACTAGAACCAATCACCAGAAGCTTCCATGTTACTACAAGCATGTCATTGCTTGATGCAAGATGAAAAAAAAAATGCATCAGGAGTTCAGGACTATCTAACCTGAAGATAAATGCTTGTGTCATACTGACTCTTCAGAGCATACTCATTGAAGACAGATGCCATCGACGGGACAGTAACCTGCATGTGAATTTTCAGATTAGCCTCTAGCATGAATTACAGCTTTCCATAATGAATCAACAGGGAAACATGAGAAAGTCAGATAAAGGGCATGGAATCACTTCCATACCTTCAAGATGAGCAAATATAAGTACAGGAGGAAGAAACTTACAAAGATAACAGTACAGACGTATGCACCCGTAGCAAGAGGAATTCCAATGGCAGTAGCACCTTCAGGAAGAGAACGCAGTTGATTTACACTAATCCCTATCAGCAACAGAGCAAGTGCCTCCCACTATACCAAAATTAAAAATAAGCAGGATTGAGCAATGTATGAAAACATAAAAGTCTAAATGAGAATAAGGGGTAATGAAGGTTACAAACAAACTTTCACTATAATATTGTCTGATACTGAGAACCGGTCAAACACATGCAATCAACAAGAATAAATGAACCTGACCTGAATGATGGAAAACCGCCGCTTCATTACCATCTTTAATAGAACAGCAATGACCAGAACCTTTAGATTACTAAGCATCTTCACAGTAGCGGGATTGAAATATAGCTGGCACAGCAGAAACTTTCATTATTGTGTGAAATTAAAATACAGGAAAGAACGAAAGATACAACCAAGATAGTAAGAGCGTGAAAGTACTGGTAAATAAACCAACTGAAACAATGTACAATGGCCGACTCAAATATTCCTAAAAGGCAACTTGATATATAATGCAATGACCAGTAGGTCTCAAGGCAGAAAAGAAAGGTATATAGCCCTCCTTAGAAGCTTTTAAATCAGTCATTTGTTTAGGGTGCACTTAAGTAGTGTCTGCTGGAAAGTCATACAATGCAGGATCAACAAAATTGGATTAAAAGAACACCACAGGACATGCTATTGCCACAAAGCCAAAACATCTGACAGTAGACCTCACTAGTTTCAGCAGCTTAATTAGACTTAAGGATGCAAAAAAAAAAAAAAAAAAAAAAAAGAAAAGTGGATGTACCTGCATTGTGAACTTCAGATAGTTGTTAATTGCATATAACAGGGCTGGAACAGCGAGAAGCACATTATTTCGAGCTGCCTGAAAAAATAGACTCATGTCAATGACTCAGTACGATCTGCATTATAAGTAGTCAAGCAATTAAACTTAGTTTGAAGATATGAGTATATCTACTGGTCAGTAACATCCACATTTCAAAAATCCACAAAAAAATCCAATCATCAACAGAAAAAAAGAAGGTGATACGTAGAGAAGATATGTGTGTATGACATATGCCAAGCTATCAAGCAATGGAATGTAAGAAGCTAGTTTCAGATCTGATATTATGCCGTACCACAGAAAACTTCTCAATAGATTGGACTCACCTGGACAAATGTGGAAACAGATAAAAGAGGCTTCTCTCCAACTTTTTGGTGCCTGGCCTACAATTTCAACACAAAAGCTTAAGTATAAATGGACCTTCCACAGAAAGGCGAGAGGGTAATCATCTGGAAAATCGTCTTTATGCACCGCACAGAATGGGATATGTTTCACATTGGCATTACCAGTTAATCAACATCAGAACTTCTAACCGATAAGATCGGAAGAGCAAAGTTATAAATAAACTACCAGAAACCAGCCAAAGTTTCAGGAACTTCTAGTACTATTCATGTCCTAACGCAGGAGAAACGTCTAGCAACTAGTCCTAGATACTAGAGTGTAAATTTCCATGTACTGCTAAGAGAATCGAGATTCTAAAGTCAATTCAGAAACATACCTGAATTAAAAGCATCACAATTGCAAAAATAACTTTCGCAATTTCTGTCAAGAAGTTGACGCTAATAGGACTGAAGTTGAACTTCCCATCCACCTTGGACATGTACACCAAGACAGGCTGAAAAAGGAAAAGTATGTAACTTTTTAAGTGTTAAAAACTTAAAACTTAAAACACTGAAATATGGTTGTCATGGCAGCCATGAAATGAGGCTCTAATCTAAGCGAGATTGTTTACCTGTAGACCAACAAGCATGCAATCACCAACTACCAAAAGGACATTGAGAACCTTTTGCTTTGAGGATACCCTAATCTTATGGTCGTCATAAGCCCTCGAAATAGCTTTGCTACTGGGAGAGACCAGCTTTGAACGACATACACTGCACTCAGCCCCATTCATCATTTGTCTTCCTCAATTTGACAATTTACAGATTGAGCCAACCTGATAAACAAAAAAAAACAGAAATTAAGAAGAAGAAGAAGAGAATTCGAGCTAATGATCATAAGAATATGTCAACTTTTAAGTGGAATTTGAGGAAAAAGGTTATCAATCAACGGCATTTGAGATAAGTGACAGATTCAAACAAAGATTTCTCGAAACACCAAGTGTAAACCCACGATCAGATCTCAATAGCTCTATAAGAGTCACAATTCAATAAGAGCAATGAGCGCAGATAGATCTCAAAACCCAAACTTGGATCTAACTTCTAAGCCGCCATCAGAATACTTGTCGGTTCATTGCAAAAACAATCAAATTCGTGAGAAGATGGATCAAACTAACCTCAATTGACCTAACAATCAGCTTAACAGAGCATTCTCTTCAAGCCACGGGGCGTATTATCTTCTCACACAGATCCAGAGCTCGACTTGCAGAGGGAATCACTATTCTTCTCCTCTCTTCTCCTCTTCCTCGCTCTGAATTGCAGGAATTGAACAAGATCTAAAACTTTCCTGAGAGCTCTTTTAAGTACCGGGAAAAGGAAAAAGATTCGAAGAATATGCAGAGAGGGAGAGATTGAATCAATCGGTCGTTGTTTGTTCCTTATTCGCAAGTGCTCTCTTATTTGTTTGGTGCACGACCTTTTTGCTTTGATCTCACAACAACGTTTTCTTTTCGTTTCTTAAATTTTAATTATTTTTATTGTCGAATATTTAAATGAGAGATTAGCCAACATCCTTTATTAATTCACAGTAGTTTATGGGGGAAAATAACAGTAATTTCACAGCTCTTTAAGAATGTGCCTAATTTTTGGGATACACAGAATGTATTTGACAATGTGCCTAACTATTCTTTCCCTTGAGTTTTTTTCAAAAAATAAACGATTTCCTTCTAGGTGAAAACCAAAACTGAAAGAAATCTTTAGTGACAATGCTTAGTTTGGTTGATTATAAATGAAACAAAATTCTTAGATATTCTTACAAAATGTTGAGAGTAACAATATTGGTTACTAATAGTCTAATTAGACATGAATAGTGGGCCCTAATGTTCAAACTATTTGAATTTTTAGTAAATGTGTATATGTTTAATAACGAATTTTACCTTTACAGTTGAAATAAACAATTTTAGCCAAATTAAAATGATATTATTTCTAAAGCAATAAAATTTCTTCAACGCATGGGAGTTGATTACTAAAGAAGTAAATAAGTGAGATTTTTAATACCATCTTCAACATTAGTGCCTAATTAATACCTAGGGTTAGTACTTAATTTGAACCATTATTAAAAACAAAAAAAAAGGGCTCTATTTGTTCCTTATCAGTAAGAGTGATCGTGAAGCTTTTGGTGGTGACATGGCATGTGCGTGGTAAATGTGTTACCGTCACTCTGTATTTGGCACATGTGTTCTTTCGCTTTGACGTTCACCAAATAAAGCCTTGTTTTTGGTTAAATTATATCGTCTCTACAAAGCCTTGTTTTTGTGGGGAATCATCACAATTTGGAGGCTTTGTTCCACAGTGCATCTATGTTCTGTATATTTTGAGATCAAAGTTTGTACTTGTACACACTGCAAAGTCCATAGTGTTCTGCTTTACCAAAGTAAAAATTCGGTTGTTGTTGCTTTATCATATAATAGAAGCAATCTAAATAAATCTAATTACGACCCAACAAATCAAACTCAGAGTATTGAAGCCCTTACAAATAGCCAGAATTAACGTAGGATATATAAGCAAACCATTCTCTCCCAATCATAATTTTATCTTGGTCTGTGGAATAACATTATTAGCTAGAAAAACAACTCAATGCCAAAAGAAGAAACAAGAAGGCTTAGTCTTTCGTGCGGTGGTGAGAGCTTTATGCTGCAACGCTTCAATCTCTCTTTCTTTGAGTCTTTCGAAGAAAGCCACCTGTTTCACGAAAATGGTGATTACTCAAAAGTTCAGTCAGAGTCTTCAATATAAGCAAACTTATTATAAATAAAAAAAAAACCTCACATATTGACGAGCAGGCCGACAAATAACTGCAAGGACATTAGCCGTTTTTAAATCGAGATCCGCCTCTTGCCACAACCTTAAAAGTTCTGGATTGAAACTTGTACAGGTTAAAATCAAAAGATATGGTCATATAATTCGCAGAGATTCTCCTACACTTTCTCCCATTGTCAAACGATCTCGATTTTTTGGAAATTCAGAGAAGTCATAATGTACGTAACTAATGGACTGGGAGATTTTAAACCGGAACAGAAAACTAGAACCGGACTAGAACCGGGTATCGGCTCGCGGATTTCCCCAATTCAACGACATAAAAAACAATCAATTTGATCTGACCGAACTGCATTTCGATCGAAGGCGTTAAAGTGCTCGCAATCGGAGCACAATTTTGGTGGAAAGATTCCTTCTTTCTCCGACAAGAATGTCGACATCTGGGTTCAGTCTGTTCCTCGCTCTCCTACAACTCTCCGGTTTGTTATTTCCGTTGAGAGTTTCTGCAATTAGGTGATTAATTTTGGGTATAACATCCTTATTTCTATGAATTGCCGCACCCCTGTTTTGCCTCCCTCGCTTTAATTCGCCATTTCCTTTAAGATCTCGATTGGATTTTACAGGAAGGATATTGGGTTCTTAGAAGAGCGTAGTTGCAGAACAACTGTCCAAGGAAGGTATCTGATCTCCGATGATGAAGGTACGCAATTTCCCCCTCCAATTCACTTTTACAGCATTTAGCGAGAAAGGCTTGTTTTTTAAGCTTGAATGGTTGTTGTCTCAGGCAATGTGTGTGATTCTCTGTCATTGGATTCTCGAACCCGTTGTTGCCCATGGAAAGGAGAAAGATTCTCTTGTCAGTGAGTTTAGAAGATCATCATTGCCTTTAATCGTTAAATTATGTTTTTTTTTTTAGATTAGTGCGTTCTTAATCAGACTTCATTTTCTGTGGTGTTTTGGCTTGAAGTGGATGCAACCTCCTTTCACAATGCTGCAGCTCTTATGAGTTTTGCGTTTCTTGCTGCTTGAGTCCTACTCGGGTATTCTTTGGAACCTTTGGTTATTCTCTGTTCTCGCTTCATCGTTTTTCTGCTCATGTGTATATATCTTATCTTCTGCAGACGATTCTTGAGAAGGTGGTTAAGGTAAAAGTTGCAAAGCCGGCTACAGCAGGTAACTTGTCGTTTACACAGCAGCTTCGATTCTAGAACCGCATAGACGTAATTGCATTTGCAAGATTACCAAATTTTCCTCTTTTTTTTTACAGGAACTTACAAGACTGTTTTTGATTTCTGTGCCGGGAGATGCCGCCATAATTCTGAGAGTGTGGTAAGCGATTGACTGTAATTCTTGAAAATGATAAGAGGGATTATGAAAGTGTAATGTTTTTGTCCTGTCCTGAAACTTTCAGGTTCATGAAAATGCATACCACAGCAAGTTTCACCATTGCTTTTCTCTGACATCAAATGCTTCAGGTTGGCGTTGATAGCCTACATTTTCTTTCAACTGCCGTTTTTATATGTCAATATACCATTTCACATTGGTCATATAACTGAAACAGGGGCTAATCTTACACAAGTTGAAACAAGACTTCTTGGCATTGATGTGATTGTCGGAAGGTAAAACACACTCCCTTCTCTACCTGGATGAATTGTAAACGCTTTTGTGGATACCATATTCTTAAGACTCGTTTTGTTAATTTGGTTTCATAGGCAAGGAGATTCATGCGATGCAGTATGCAAGTCACGCGGAAAATTGTGTGTGATGAATAAACTCTCTCTTCTAAACCAATGTGACGTGTAAGTTACCACTTACCAAGTCATCTTATAAGCCAACCATCAAGCATACATATATCCAAACTTCGCAATTTGATGTTCACATGGTCTTTTGTTACTTTGTTTGTTCAGTATGCAAAGATACATGAGCTGCAATGGCTCCTGTTTAGCAAGTGCCGGGGCTGACCAACCTGCTGAAGTTGTCGATGATGCGCCCAGAGATTTGGTATTCCATCTTTTATCTCCTCATAAGTTCTTGATTCCTCAGTGAAACATCTCATTAAGATCGCTTCTCTTGACTTAACCTTTGGATCTTGATCATAAACTGAGTGATTCGATATGTGTGTGTTAATTTCCTTGGTTTTTTCAGTATCCAGGCGCGTGCTTGTACACACGGACACAGTCATTGCTTTCTTGTGACGGTTCACACCAATACACCCGACGACTCTGCCCATGTGCCTAGAAACTAGTCAGTATAGTTGAGACTTGCACCATAATTTTTCCCTGCTTATGCATATACCACAAAGCAGATAGTAATGGAATTTTAAGATTTATAGTTTTCTTCTAAGGGAATTGATTAAAAGATCTCTCCTTTTCCCCAATCTGTAGCTCAAATAGTCTGAAGAATGCTACTTAAAACTTTGAATTCTTTGCTGGTCATTTGTTACATGGTGGAAGAACGTTTATTCATTTAAAACCACAGAGTGGCATAAAGCATCTGTCCACATCCACTGTAACGTTTGTGGCCTACGTTGAGAATTAACTGCAAGGCCACACAAGCAGCAACGTATCCTTTAGATATTTTACACACATTGAGGTGCAGCTCTCTTGAACAGTGCCAAAATCACCACTTTTGTATTCATTCATCAAATCAGCAAAGAGGACACAAACAAGAGAAGGGCCCTTTATGGACAGCTGGAGTTTGAAGGTTGTTTCACATTGATCAACCAAGAGAGACTTTTATTATTATTATTCATTAACTAATGACTTGACTTGNGACATCTGGGTTCAGTCTGTTCCTCGCTCTCCTACAACTCTCCGGTTTGTTATTTCCGTTGAGAGTTTCTGCAATTAGGTGATTAATTTTGGGTATAACATCCTTATTTCTATGAATTGCCGCACCCCTGTTTTGCCTCCCTCGCTTTAATTCGCCATTTCCTTTAAGATCTCGATTGGATTTTACAGGAAGGATATTGGGTTCTTAGAAGAGCGTAGTTGCAGAACAACTGTCCAAGGAAGGTATCTGATCTCCGATGATGAAGGTACGCAATTTCCCCCTCCAATTCACTTTTACAGCATTTAGCGAGAAAGGCTTGTTTTTTAAGCTTGAATGGTTGTTGTCTCAGGCAATGTGTGTGATTCTCTGTCATTGGATTCTCGAACCCGTTGTTGCCCATGGAAAGGAGAAAGATTCTCTTGTCAGTGAGTTTAGAAGATCATCATTGCCTTTAATCGTTAAATTATGTTTTTTTTTTTAGATTAGTGCGTTCTTAATCAGACTTCATTTTCTGTGGTGTTTTGGCTTGAAGTGGATGCAACCTCCTTTCACAATGCTGCAGCTCTTATGAGTTTTGCGTTTCTTGCTGCTTGAGTCCTACTCGGGTATTCTTTGGAACCTTTGGTTATTCTCTGTTCTCGCTTCATCGTTTTTCTGCTCATGTGTATATATCTTATCTTCTGCAGACGATTCTTGAGAAGGTGGTTAAGGTAAAAGTTGCAAAGCCGGCTACAGCAGGTAACTTGTCGTTTACACAGCAGCTTCGATTCTAGAACCGCATAGACGTAATTGCATTTGCAAGATTACCAAATTTTCCTCTTTTTTTTTACAGGAACTTACAAGACTGTTTTTGATTTCTGTGCCGGGAGATGCCGCCATAATTCTGAGAGTGTGGTAAGCGATTGACTGTAATTCTTGAAAATGATAAGAGGGATTATGAAAGTGTAATGTTTTTGTCCTGTCCTGAAACTTTCAGGTTCATGAAAATGCATACCACAGCAAGTTTCACCATTGCTTTTCTCTGACATCAAATGCTTCAGGTTGGCGTTGATAGCCTACATTTTCTTTCAACTGCCGTTTTTATATGTCAATATACCATTTCACATTGGTCATATAACTGAAACAGGGGCTAATCTTACACAAGTTGAAACAAGACTTCTTGGCATTGATGTGATTGTCGGAAGGTAAAACACACTCCCTTCTCTACCTGGATGAATTGTAAACGCTTTTGTGGATACCATATTCTTAAGACTCGTTTTGTTAATTTGGTTTCATAGGCAAGGAGATTCATGCGATGCAGTATGCAAGTCACGCGGAAAATTGTGTGTGATGAATAAACTCTCTCTTCTAAACCAATGTGACGTGTAAGTTACCACTTACCAAGTCATCTTATAAGCCAACCATCAAGCATACATATATCCAAACTTCGCAATTTGATGTTCACATGGTCTTTTGTTACTTTGTTTGTTCAGTATGCAAAGATACATGAGCTGCAATGGCTCCTGTTTAGCAAGTGCCGGGGCTGACCAACCTGCTGAAGTTGTCGATGATGCGCCCAGAGATTTGGTATTCCATCTTTTATCTCCTCATAAGTTCTTGATTCCTCAGTGAAACATCTCATTAAGATCGCTTCTCTTGACTTAACCTTTGGATCTTGATCATAAACTGAGTGATTCGATATGTGTGTGTTAATTTCCTTGGTTTTTTCAGTATCCAGGCGCGTGCTTGTACACACGGACACAGTCATTGCTTTCTTGTGACGGTTCACACCAATACACCCGACGACTCTGCCCATGTGCCTAGAAACTAGTCAGTATAGTTGAGACTTGCACCATAATTTTTCCCTGCTTATGCATATACCACAAAGCAGATAGTAATGGAATTTTAAGATTTATAGTTTTCTTCTAAGGGAATTGATTAAAAGATCTCTCCTTTTCCCCAATCTGTAGCTCAAATAGTCTGAAGAATGCTACTTAAAACTTTGAATTCTTTGCTGGTCATTTGTTACATGGTGGAAGAACGTTTATTCATTTAAAACCACAGAGTGGCATAAAGCATCTGTCCACATCCACTGTAACGTTTGTGGCCTACGTTGAGAATTAACTGCAAGGCCACACAAGCAGCAACGTATCCTTTAGATATTTTACACACATTGAGGTGCAGCTCTCTTGAACAGTGCCAAAATCACCACTTTTGTATTCATTCATCAAATCAGCAAAGAGGACACAAACAAGAGAAGGGCCCTTTATGGACAGCTGGAGTTTGAAGGTTGTTTCACATTGATCAACCAAGAGAGACTTTTATTATTATTATTCATTAACTAATGACTTGACTTGTGTTCATACATTCATAATCCCAACGAAACCGTCATTGAAGATGAAGATAACTCAATTTTAATTGATGATGATTGATTACAGAGGTTGGTTTATACTTTCAAATTATCAGAAGAATTATAAATAAATTAAAAAAAAAAGACATCAGAATTTGTAATCGGTTTTAAACATTCTCGTGTCTTTCTTCGGTTCTTTAGCTTTAGCCCCACCTCTGTTTTCCGATTCGTCTGGTTCCTCGTTATCATCATCAGCTATCACAAACGCGGGATGGCTCAAAACGCATTTCAGAAGCTGCGTTCCTCTCAACGCGTTTGTGAGCGGTAAG